CCCAACCCCCACCCTCACTCCCACCCAGAGCCTTCGGGATGGAGTTGCCCTTCTCAGAGTGCGCGGCTGTGCACATTTGGAAGCCACAGCGTCTCCTGACCTCTTGTGCAATCCAGAACGCTAGCCTGTCCTGGTAACCCTGGCTGGCTTCTGCAGCCGCCCTTCAGCAGCCCCTGCACGTTTGCATCAGCGGTTTCCGCTGTCTGCCGGCTGCAGAGACCTAGGCATTCCCAACGCGAAGGAGCAATTAAGGAAAATGCAGGCAGAGAGAGGACGCTGGAATTGGATTTAGCAATGGAGAAGGCTACAATATGTGGAAGTGTTTATCAGATAACTGCGCTGAGAGCCTAACTTCCTGTCAGCCTAAATAGTGTTTTTTTTTGAAGGCCAAACACTAATCAGAGGGAGGGGATTTTTTTGGAGCCTACCCGGGTGGAGTTGAACATTGCAGCTGCTCTTTGCAGGACTGGCTGACTGGTGCTCACGATTCGGTAGGTGGCATTCTTTCCTCGGTGTCAGGACTACATAAACCGAGGCGGATTAGCGACTAACGGACCCACTCTATGATACTAAGCTGTTGGAAGAGATTGGCTTGTTTTTGTGATATGCAGGGAAAAAAATCGAGGTTTCTGCAGGGTTGGCTGTTTTGGGACAGGTTATAGAATCGGGCTCTGGGAGTCTCTGTTCCATGCAGAGAATGCTGTCCAATACACCCACCTCCTCCTCCACCACCACACCACCACCGTACCCTAGAAATGTTTATTGTGGAAATAATGGGGAGAAAATGTTCCAGCCCATTTTAAGACTTGTCCATATCACATTGTTTAAAGTAGGCTTACATGGGATTTCTAAACCATACTCATACATATGTGAGCATACACATTTTTTCTTTTTTTTTTGTAGCTGAGACGTGTGCAACAGGACTTTTCAGCCACAATAGAGTTTATCATGGGTTTTATTCTGCAGTGGGCCTTGCAGTTCCTTTCTTGTTGAAATCATCCTCAGAGCTTGTTAGCTTCTTTTAATGCCTACTGCAAATAGGTACTCCCAGTTTTCCTTACTTGGCTTCATTTACTTCATTAACATTTTCTAATATTTCATGTAATTACCTTATTATGTTTAGTATTTATTTATATGTATCTCAGAGAAATGCAAGTTTCCAGAAGGCAGGAATTAAAACAAAAACTTTTTTTCCTTTAAATTTGTTTTTTACATTAATTCACTATACATCATTACAGCATACAAATGAATGTTCCATCCGAAATACACTGTATATTGGCTCAATCAAGCACATCAACATACATGTTATCAGCAAATAATTTTCCATTTCTTATGTCTTGTATATTTCTTTTTTTTTTTTCTTTTTTGCCATCCTTGATTGCCTATCCCTCACCCTCTGCATGTCCCACCCTCCTCCCACATTGTCTTTGGTATCCATGGTTGCTTTCTATGTCTCCCCCCCCCACTTTATT